CACACCCACACCCACACCCTTCTTATGATAAATTATTTGATAATTTAGACCAATAGTTCTTTGAAAAATGTCAGATTTTCATTTTCTTTTTTGTTAATATTCATAAAGGTTTTGCTTGCATCACAGAATAAAGAAAAATGAAACCATCAAAGCGTCAAAGAAAATATTATGTAATAAAAGGGTTCTGAAAATGATAGTTTAAAAACTCTTGCTTATGTTGACAACGAATAAAGTTTAAAAGAAAACGTTCTAACGACGAAATTGTACAAGATAACGAAGAGCAACTTGTGCTTCATCATAAACTATAAATTCATTATAATTAAGACCATAATAATTTCCACCAAAATCTTTATTATCAATTAATTGACCTAGTGGTATTTGTACACCTAAGATAATGAAGAAATTTTTTAAGAAAATCTTTTCATTTCAAAAATAAATAAACAAACCATAATTTCGAGTAATCGTATGTTTTGGATCAGGTATACGTCGACCGACACCTTTTCGACTTTGAAATTTTTTTAAATCGAGTGGTTTATCATCATCATCATCGTCGTCCTCTTCTTCTTCATCATTATTTCGTTGTATACCAACTTCTTTAATATTACCTAAAGCAACTTCACATAACAGCATAAAACATCGTTCACCATCATTTTGTTTAACACCGGAACAATAACCAAGACTCTTTGCAAATGTATCAGCGGTATAAATTCCCTAGAAAAAAATAAAAGATAAAATTTATCTATTATTTATAAAAATTTTCATTACTGTTCCAAATAAACTTCCAGTTGCTCTTGCTGTCAAAGATCCACCGAGAAGTCCTAAGTTAGAAAAAAAGTGGTTAGATCCTAAACCGATGTTCATTACTTAGATATCACTATAGATTATCAAGAGTTACTCAAACAAAAAACATAAATATAAATTACCTCGAGTAAGTATACTAATCAAATTACAAATACCAGTTCCATGCCATAATAAATAATGATTATTTAAATTACATTTCGTCAATCGTTCATCTTCATTTGGTCGTGCAATTTTAAATATTTGTTCTATTTGTATATCAGGTGCACTAGTCCATATGTAACGTAAGATGAGTTGAGAATCAATATCATCTTTGTTTAAACCTTGAAATTGACAATTCATTGATTTATATAAATAATCTAATGGTGAAATAGATTTTAAATTTGCTTGTGCACCTAATAAAATTTTATATGATAATTCAAGTTCAAATAAATCATCAAGTATTTTTTCTTGTGCTTTTAATAAATCTTCATTATCAATTACAGCTAATTTTTCATCAGAATAACCATTTTGTGGTATTAATGTATAATATTCATTTGTATATTGATAAATAGATTCTAAAATTGATTTTATTTCATTTTTTTGATCAGATGTTTTTTTATGTTGATTTTCCGTTGCAAAGTTATTCTTTTTTTCAATTGTTTCTTTTATTTTTATTAATAAATCACGTGCTTTTTCTAATGTTTCACGTTTTAATTGTGATACAGGCATCCATTCAATATCTAATTGAGTTTTATGTATATTATTACGAAAAGCTTGACGATTAATTAATGTTCTTATAAAATTTTTATAAATAGATGATTGTAATTGTGATGATGGATGTTCATGTTCAGCTAGTAATCGATCAAAATCAATTGGTACATTTGAATATTTTTTCATTTCACGTTCATTTAATCGTACTAATGAATATTTTTTTGGTTTTGTTTGAAATTGATCTGTATCTTTCCATGAATTTCCCGTTTTTTCACGAAAAACTTTTAAAAATTCTTTTCGACATTCATCAAATGTTGAATAGGGCGTTAATTGATGTTGACCTTCATCATTACCAATTCGACCCCAACGTGTAAATAAAAAGTATAAATTATTTTTACTTTTATGTTTAATAATTTGCATACGATAAAAATTATATAATCCATATGTACCATAATTAACATCAGTTTTTGTTAGACGTACATCATATGGTTCATTTTTATCTGTATCAATTAAAATTTCACCTGTTAAACTCATACCAGATAATCGATCGACTTTATATTCAATATTATTAGATTTATTTGTTGGATGATTTGAAATATATTCATTAATTAAATTTTGAGCATCATTATAAAAATCTATTTTATCTAAAAGTTTTTTATTTGGATCATTTATAGAAAATTTTTCTTTTGTCGTTTTAATTGAACTTGTTTTATTACGAATTAATTTTGTTAATTCATCATATAAATGTTGACAGTTATTTTTAATACTATAGTCTAATGGTGTTAAACCAGAAAGATCAGTCGTTGTCAATGAAGCACCACAAGAATGTAATAAACGAAGTAAATCAATATTATTTGTATATGAACCATCAGGAAATGGTTGAATTAAATGATGAATACATGTACGACCATGAATATCAGTTGCATTTAAATTAACTAATGATGTTCGTTGAAATTTTTTTGATGTCTTATCATTTGATGCTTCATCTGTATCAGTAGTAGTATCATTTGTAGTAACACCAAGAAAAAATTTTCCTTTTCGAGCTTTAGAACGTGGTCCTCTTCGATAATTCACTGGTTGCTGCGTTGGTGTTTGATTATCATCGGGAGAATAATCTTTATTCAGAAGTAATTTAACTATGTCA